TTTCTAGTCTGTTCAAGTCATTTTGAATTTTGATCCTGTCTTCTGGTAGTAAGCAAGCTTATTTTGAGAGAAATGTATCACACTTGAGCTTCTCCATGAGGAAATTGTAATAATCTTCCAAAAAGTATAGAGAATACTGAGAACATCTGACCTGCAGAGGACCCATAAATTCACAACACAAAAAGTACTTGTACTGCCTCATCCCCAATCTTATCTTTTTCAGTCATTCCCTTCTTCATAATAGAGCTCCTAGTTGGCCAATAAGCATCTATTCCTACATTATTAAGTTAGCAGGAGATTTTATAGACCTGCCACTGCTACTCGACTATATTATTTAATTAAATTGCTTCAATTCAAAAGAGCTTAAATTCAGCATAAGAATGTGCTGACACAAGTAATGAAAGATTTCATAGGTCATTAGTATCCAGGATTTAAGCCAATATTCAGTTTACAAAGTCTAGTAAGTGTAGCAATGACTGAAGTTTTAAAATGCATCTTTTGTTCTTATTGTGTGCCTTCAGGTCACTTCTGACTTATGGAATCATAGAATCATAGAGTTGGAAGAGACCACAAGGGCCATCCAGTCCAACCCCCTGCCATGCAGGAACTCCCAATCAAAGCATCCCTGACAGATGGCCATCCAGCCTCTGCTTAAAGACCTCCAAGGAAGGAGACTCCACTACTCTCTGAGGGAGTGTGTTCCACTGTCGAACCGCCCTTATTGTCAGGAAGTTCCTCCTAATTCTAAGGAGAATCTATCATGGGTTTTCTTGACAGAATTTGTTCAGAGGGGATTTGTCTTTGCCTTCCTCAGGCTGACAGAGTGTTACTTGCCCAAGGTTACCCAGTGGACTTCAATGGCCAAGCAACTATTCAAACCCTTGACTCTAATTGTCCTAGTCCAACACCAAAACCACTACACCATACTGGTTCTCTAAGGTCCTCCTTTTAAAAAAATAATAATCTCCAGGCACATTTTGCAACGGGCTAGCCTTACACAACTGGCCACTTCCTAACTGCCATCAGGTCATTTCACCACTGTTGAACTAGATACAATGGGGGAGGATTGGTACATGTATATATCTTCTAAGTAGCTGACATGTATGTTTGCTTCAACATTTCCGTTGGCTGCAAGAAGAATAAAAATACTCAGGGTAGTTCAAATGTGTAATATAGAGTTGGGAATCATGTGATCTTTGAAATAAGGTTGGACTTCAAGTCCCAACCAGTATAGCCAGTGGTGAAGAATACTGGAGTACCAATTCCATGATATCTGGAAATACCATGAGTGTCACTGCTGTTATAGTACAAGACACCTTCTTGTTTCCAGGATGGTTATGTTGAAAAGTCTCCTATTCCTTTAAAAGCACGTGGTTTTCACCATCATAATTATCCTGTTCTTTTCAAAACAGTGTAGCACTTAAAGTGTCAGGCTAGAACTGGGGAGACCTTTCCAATATCTATTCTGCAATTAAGGTCAGTGGGTAACCTTCACTATCTCTCAGGGTAATCTACCTCCCAAGATAAAATAGGGAACATCATCTGCATGCCCTAGGCTACTTGTAAAAAGGGGTGGGTCATTCATGTAATAAAATAACCAAGTATCTGTACATGGTGGTTCTAGTAGTCTCCTATCCAGCTTCTGCTGACTGAGCTTTAGCAAAGTTCTGTAATTAACAACTACCTTCACTCAACATTTCAAAGAGAAAATCCCATAAGAATGAAAATCCCATGACTGGACAGGCAGAGAATGAAGAAAACATTCTTTCAATGTTGCTCGGGACAAAGAGGTTCTCTTTGAAGGACAAACTCATATCTTTAACTTGATACCAGTCCTTACTCACTACTCAGGAATACCCACCGAGTAGAACTTACTTCTAGTTTTTTTTCAAACATTATCAGTATGCTTCTATAGGAACATGGGTAACACTGCTTTAATGACTACTTCATTAATTTTTTCCTCTTTGTCATCATTCTCAAAGAAAATATTCCATATTTATTTGTAGCTAGGGGATGAGATGGGAGATGGTACCTTAAGAAAAAGTATGTTCATCTGTAATGCTGAGTTATTTTATGTTACAGACCTTCTTCCAGAACTTGGGAAAGAATCCTGTATGGCAGTTACAAATGCATAACCTACTAGGGAGAGTTATCTTTGGAGTGAGCCCCAAGTGTGAGGGGTGATGTAGGGACATGAAAATCCCCCAGTCCCCACTTGCCAGGCAGCAGCATCAATATTGCCAGGCAGCAGCATCAAGGGATCAATAGAGTCCATTCCACTGTCACTTTAAAAATGGCTGGCTGATGGTCTCCTCACCCTTGTTTGAGCAATTTTGAGCATGAGGAGGACCAGATCTGCAGGAGGGCAACTGGAATACTGACAGTCTGTACATATCTCCTAAGGAACATGTAGTGATCATGAATATGGACCAGTCACAAATGCAGGTCATGCATTCATAATTGCTCTAGGGAATTCCAACCAGAGCCTCCAAAGCCAGAGAAGGTGACAAATGAAGGCAGATAGTTTTCTGGAAGTTATCTACCCTCTTCCCTTTACACATGCACTAAATCTGCTTTGCAAGATTGGTGGACCCTGTGGAGCAGAGGATGGCAATGCTGGGGAGATAGAAATGGAAAGCCTTGGTGTGCAAGCTAAAAACCCATGAAGGTGGAATTTTCCTACTGACTTTGAAAATGATCACCTGTTGTTTCAAAAAGCATGAGCTGATTCAATTTTTCCATATTAAACCTTGCACTATAATGTAATCTTGTCATCTGAATGTGGTGCTGGAGCTGGAGAAGGGTTCTATGGATACTATGGACTGCTAAAAAGGCAAATAGATGGGTCTTATAACAAAACTGAGGTTGTTGCACTTTGGATGTATCATAAGATGATGTGACTTATTGTTAAAAACAATAATGCTCAGTACAGTGGATGGTACAGCCAGTGTGGTGTAGTGGTTTGGATGTTAGTCCAGGACTCTGGACCAGGGTTCAAATCCCCACTCAGGCGTAGAAACCCGCTGAGTGGCCTTGGGTAAGTCACAGCCTCTCTCACTCTGAGAGGAAGACAACTGCAAATCCCCTCTGAACAAATCTTGTCACAAATACCTCATAATAGATTCATTTTAGGGCTGCTGGAAATGGGACACAACTTGAAGGCATGCAGCAGCAACAGCAGCAGCAACAACAACAACAGAGTGGAAGGAAGTAAGAAAAGAGAGAGATCATCCTACGGGTGGATTGATTTAATCAAGAAAATAATGACCCTGAGTTTGCAAGACCTGAGCAGGGAAATTGAAGGAGGACTGGGGATCTTCATAAAAGTCACCATAAGTCAATGGCGCCTTAACAGCAAATGACAACAAAGCATTGTCCTGAGGCAGAAAATGAGAAAACATGCCTAAGCAATCAGGGAAAGACTAAACTTGGTTTCTGGCCAAACATAATAACTTTATTTTGTTTTAATTTAGAGACAATCTCCCTTTTACAATGGTAATTAAAAATTACAAGCTGAGGATTAGCTGAGAAATAAGTAACAACATCATATCATCAACAGCATCCAGAACAAGCATGTGACAGAATTTGGGGTGGAAACTACTCCAGAGTAATTATATACTCTATAACATTCCACAGATGAAAACTGGGACCCATGTCCATCAAGCAACATCAGAATGATGGCAAAAGTTAATAATGAGGAAAAACAGAAGAGCTAGAAAAGGCTACAGCTGTTTGTTTTTGCTTGATTCTGCACCTTCCTGTTCTCTCCCACTACTTGAGAACAAACTATGGCTGGAATCTTGTACATCCTTTCACGCAATGTAAATTTGTGTGCACTTCACTGAGTGTGCCTCTACACTGCAGAATTAATGCAGTTTCACACTGCTTTAACTGCGAAGGCTGAATGCTACAGAATTCTAGGATTTGCTCTTTTGTGAGATATCTAGCCTTTCTCTGCCAGAGAGTTCTGGTGCCACAACAAACTACAAACTCAAGGATTCCATAGGATGGAACCATGACTGTTAAAGCGGTGTCAAAATGCATTAATTCTGCAAGTAGAAGAGGCATTATGAAACCTAGTTACTGAATTGCAAAGATGCATAATGGATGCACCTCCTCATCAGTGTCCTATGGCACATCAGTCCTTTTGCCAGTTCTTCAGCTTAGTTATGAGCAGAATATGACTGAATATGGACATTGCACATCTTTGTAATTCTATTTCCCTCACACATTAAGGGCCTTTGTAGACTGCCTGAAATAGTGCAAATTGAGTCCACTTTAAGGGTTAGGATTAGTGCTAGGGAATCATGGGAATGTTTTTTTTTTCTGAGACATTGAGCCTTCTCTGTCAGAGAGCTCTGGTGCCACAATAAAATACAGTTCCCATGATTCCCTAACCCTAACCCTTAAAGTGGACTCAATTTGCACTATTTCTAGCAGTCTGCAAAGGCCCTTAGTCCACTTATGAGCACACAATGCCCCAGAATGATTTGGGCCTACTTTTGTCCTTTGAACTCAGTTTGCAGCAATTGAAGTAAACCAAGGATGAAGGGGGAAAGTGAGAGGAGTTCAGAGAAACTGGAACATTTTAAAAGCAGCTGAAAAGCAGGGATGATAGAGGATTAATCAGGACTGTCCTGGCCAAATCGGAACAGTTGGAGGATATGTAATTAGTGTAACTCAAGTGTTATATACAAAGACAGTTGTGATTTGACTATGTTTATAACAACTGAAGCATCCTATGGAATTTATTTATTTATTTTACTAAAACATTTGTATCCTACCCTCTATCCAAAGATCCCAGATTGTCTTACAGTGAAATCAAATGTAAAACAGTAAACAATAATTTTATAAGAGTAACATGTATATTAAATCAGTTCCAAATTAAAATCCAGACCATTTTAAACCTGTGGAAACAATTTAAAATCATGCCAACTCTACCACATGCATGAACAGGATAAAATCAATTAGGCCCAAAGGCTTTTATTTTTAAAAAAGACATGTTTTAAAATTGACCCTTCAAAGGGAGGGTGCTTTACAATAGGGGTGCCACTGCAGAGAAGACCCTTTTCTATGTTCTTACACAATACACGAATCATACTTCTGGGACACAGAGGAATAACCCTCCAATAGATCTCAATTCTCATGGAGGCATACAGAGAAATGCTCCCCTTATATGTTCAGGTCTACACTGGACCTTATCCCACGCTGCTCTCAAAAGTGGCAAGAAAGCGATATGAGCATCATTGCCGTACTATAGCGCTAGTATAAATATGGCGCTAGCGCTATAATAGCGCTATGGATAAGCTAGCGCTATTGCAATGCCCGCTGAAACCGACATTCAAAAGAACCCGAATGATGCTGCATTCCGAGCGGTTTCTTGTTGGATTCTGAGCGACGTCGTGTAATCACCCGGAAAACTATAGCGCTATAGCGCCTGATTCTTAGCGGATTCTGAGCGACGTCGTGTGATCACCCGGAAAACTATAGCGCTATAGCGCCTGATTCTTAGCCGATTCTGAGCGACATCGTGTGATCACCCGGGAATGTATAGCGCTATAGCCCTCCCTCCATTACCATCCGATGTCATCTAGGGGAGAGACACTAGGCCGAGCACCATCAGGCCTAAAATAAGAAGAAGAGCCCTCCCTCCATTACCATCTGATGTCATCTGGGGGAGAGACACTAAGCCCAGCACCACCCAGTCTAAAATAAGAAGAACTCTTATTTCTTAAAGGATGGGTGGGATTCGGGATGTTATATTTTGTTTAATGGAAATTGTAATATTGTAAGCCGCCCCGATTGCTCTGCAGAGGGGCGGGATATAAATAAAAAGTATTATTATTATTATTATTATTATTATAGCGCCTGATTCTTAGTGGATTCTTGCTGCTTTTGGCCCCGTGGGATAAGGTCCACTGACTGTGCAAGCTTTCTGGGATTTCAGGCAGTTTTCCTTCAAAGGCTGCATTTGCACTACAGAAATAATGTAGTTTAACACTGCTTTAACTGCCATGACTCAATGCTATGGAATTATGGAATTTGTAGTTTTGGGAAACATCTATCAGAGAGCTCTGGTGCCACAACAAACTACAGATTCCCAGCATTCCATCAGATGGAACAGTGACAGTTAAAGCAGTGTCAAACTGCATTAATTCTGCAGTGTGGCAGCAGCCATAGTCTCTCCAGAAATGTCTGGAATTGAGCCAGGGATCTTCTGTGTGTACAGCATGTGTTCTGCTATTGAGTGATACATCTCTTTTCAACATGAGACAACACTGGGCAAGATGTCCTGAGATGAAGCAGCATCATGCATTTATGTTCCTTTGATGTGCTCATGCAGAGATTCTCAGTAAACCCTGCCTCTCCATAGTGTGAATGTATTGCATAAAGTAGGAAGAATAACAGCATGAGTCGTTCTTGTAGGCTGTACATTAAATTTCAGGTACATGCACTTTTCTGGTTAAAATGTGACCTCAGATCTTTGGCTTGTTACCAATCAGGGTTCTAAACCTAACCCTCCCTATTTTTACATTCTCTTTTGCTTTAAAATATAATCCTCATACCAATCAATGGGCAATTGCATATTGCTCTTTGCTCAAATGCAAATGACAGATCATGGGGAGGGGAAAGATGAGCTATCTGAAAGTAAATGAACCAAAAATGCCTTTTAAAAAAATGTTCATTTTCTGATTTCTTTTTACAGGGTGACCAGACATCCTCTTTCTCCAGGACCTGTCCTCCATTTCAACCTTCTGTCCAGGAGGAGTGTCAAAATGCTCCATTTTGAGCATGACTAAGAAGCACAGATTTATATTTATACTCGTGTTTTTAGCTTCCATTTTTTTTTTTGCAACTTTCATTTTTCTTGAAGGTTTTCCATTTTGCGGTGCCTGGTCCTCTTTTGACATGAGGACAGCTGGTCACCCTCCTCCTGCAAACGTGAGCCATGTAAAACATGCACTTTTGTGATGCCATCTCTTTCTCCTTTATGGAAAGTTCCTGAGCCTTTTTTTTGGGGGGGGGGGATATTACATGTAGGCCTCATGACTCTCACTGGTGAGACCTTTGCATTTTTGTGCAAGCACACAAGTACACGGTATGCTCAGTTTTTGCTCCCTGAAAGGCCTGTTTTGAAATTCTCCCTCCATAGGAGTTTCTCCTTTGGCCACAATGCCTCAGACAGAAGCACGCCAGAGGGTGGCATGGTTGACAATAGCCATTGGCGGGTGACTAGGGTGGCAGGCGGGTGGGGTGGGGAGGAGACCACAGACAGGCTCTTTACACTGCGGCTATTGTCTGCCCAGTCCATGGCGCATACGATTTCCAGAGGTTGCAGCAGAAACAGGGAAGCCAAGAAGAGGCCAGCTGAAAAAGAAGGGAGGGGAAAAGCACATACACCCTAAACATACCAGATTCTTTGCTCTGAAGGAGCTGTAGAGAGAGGGAAAGCAGGCTCTCTAAATGAATCATTTGATCCATGTTGCTTTATTTCAAGAAAACCACTACAGAGAGCAAAAATCGATTCAGTTATTAGGGGAACATCAGATGTCTGGTTGGAAACATGCCAGCGAACTCACACTAAGAGGAAGACAACAACAACAACAAAAAAAGGAACCAGACCTAAAAGTTACCTGGCGAATAATTTTATAATGTTGCTTTCTTTGTTCCAGTTATGTTGGGCCATGGCTTCCTTCCTCCCTGTGGAAAGAAGAAAAAAGCCCTTTCCAAATGGCACAGCCCTCTGCCTTTTTATTTCACAGATAAAGTACAAGAATCCAGGAATTCTTGGTCCTCAGCTAGATTTTAACCAGCAATTATTCAGGATGCCTTAATATTCAGTCATTAATTAAAAAAAAAACAAAATCAAAATCGACTAAGAATGCAGGACTGCTGTTTCCTTCTGCTCCCCTTCCAACATTGTACTCCATCCCACTCCACCAATAATAGCCTATTTTTTTTTAAAAAAATAAATAAAGATCCCAGTGGTTCTTTTTTCTTCCTTCCTTTCCA